ATGGCCCATTTTCTAACCTGATGTTGTGGTTTTTAATGCATGCAATTTGTGTTATAAATGCTTATAGGTTGTGTCCACTGTGCATTATATAAATGAATTATGATTTCAATGATTTTTGCCAAATGAGTCTTGGGCCCAAACCTTTCAAACAAAGTTTTTTATTAATGTAGTGATTGTAATGTGGTGATTTAGTTAATCTTCTTCTGTATTGAGTGGATATGGGAGGAGGTCACATACAACACCTTATGGTTGTTAGTATTAGGAGAAATCATGGTACATAAGTGAGTGAGTTAACCCTGGCCTGGTAGCTCCTCACAAGTAAAAAGTTGGATTAGTCTAAGTTACAAATATAGCCACTTAATAGCCACCCATTTCATGTCGGACGTAATAGGAGAATATAAAGTTGGCATTGATAATTTAGTTCCGGTTACATGGTCATTATTATGGTGGTCCGACGTGCTTAGGGGCATATGGTTGTTATTTTTGCGACCCTATGACATGCATATAAAAGATGAAATGTGTTTTATGCCTGGTCACATGATCGTTATTGTTGTGATCGTGGCTATATTTGCCTTATGCCCATGAAATGTGAATTTATTGCTATTTGCATCCATTCTAATTGATATGCAATTGTATAAACTAGGCAGACCTTAGTTACTGAGTGGTTGTACTCAGCCCTCATTCTTTAACATTTTCAGAGCCTAGCTCATTGGATCAGAATTGAGGAAAACATATTGAGACTTAGAATTTTGGTGTAAATCCTACTTGCAGGCCTCCTTTTGTTTATGTGTATTTAATGTTGTTAATTTACCAACTAGGATTTATATAATTGTTTTGAGCTACTTGCATTATCATTGTGTAAATCTTGTGTATTTTGTGCCCTGAGTTAGCATGATAAGGTTGTAAAGTTTATATAGTGCTAAAATACTTGTGCAAATAATATAAAATGTATTTTGGGATGTTTTAGATAAACATGGATGATTTGTGCAAATTTTTCCCTATATGTTTTTTGTGAAATTAGGGATTGAGGGTTAAATTTATGATATGAGTGTGTTGTGTTGCATGAGTCCTAAATGGTCCATTAAGTGTGGTTTAAAGGCTGGTGTAGGCTTGTGGCACATGCGTGTGAGTTTGGACACCCTAATTGTGAGTTTTTGTGAAAAAAGAGTCAAAATGGGTTTAAGTGTCTAGCTTTTGATAGAAAATGAATTTAGTTGCAGAATCAGTGCTATTAGCTAGAATTAGAAGAAAGCTTTTTGTAAATATCAAGATCACCTTAATCAAAGTCGAATGGAGAAATGGGACGTGACAAAAGTTTGTCCCTGGTATTGTCATTTGACAACAGAATTTTGCTATCAAAACTCGTGCAATGCGCTGTGGCGCATGGCACAGAGACATGCACGCTGCAACACGACAGTGCTTAGCCATGACGCATGTATTGTTTTTTACACTATTTCACTATTATGTGTTTTTATGCAAATGCTTTGATTTTTCTTGATTCTTAGGCTTCCACAAATGTTTTAAACTCTGATTAAGATTATTAAAAGTGTATAGGAGTATTTAATTGTCAAAAATCTTAGGATCCCATTTGCAAATTGTTAAATTTGTTTTTCCCATTCGTGCAAATTGTGAAAACTGAGTAATCCTCATTAAGTTTCGACCCTTGATTACCTTGATTTTTGGGATTAATGATGATTAGAGTAGGGAGATTACAATCCTTGCCATGAATTATTTGTTGAAATGACTAACAACGATAGCATCACAATGCTCTTGTTTGACAAAAGGTTTTATCAACTCGAGGACTGTAGAACTAATGCTCCCACTAGCCATTATTATGTATTTGACATCTACAAAATACCATAAAACTCAATGTGCCTTACATACTACTAATTGCTCAACAATACAATCAAGTCATAAGTTATAATTATACATTAAAATGAAATTAGCCAAGTATAATATTTTGTGTGTGTGTGTACTATAACTTGTTCCCATATGAAATCCATTAATGATGAATATACACGGTACCGACTATTAATTGATAAGCCCAAAGTCCTTCTAGTTATAGCACTTGTTGCTGAAGAATTTATATTTGTTGATCTTAATTAGTTGATCTTTCGAATTCCATTGAAGCAGATATTTCAGTCTAGCCGACCTTCTTCTAGTCACCTCTGCCATTAGTTCCAAGCTTTTTCTAATTGCTGTAACCACATTTTCTCAAGCATTCATACACATGGGCTCATTGGTGGTTGTATGGGGATCAACCAACTGCGAGTCATTGTTGGGAGTCATGCGTTTACTGGTGGCACTAAGGGATTATCCAAGAGGTTCTTGTTGGGATTATCCAAGAGGTCACCAAATTATTATGTTAAGTAATTATTTGTCTAACAAGTACTTGGACTATGACAACCAATTAATACGTCAATTGATCAAACTCCATAACTGCAAATGTCTCACCAAGTTCGTGTCAAATTCTTATCAAGCCCCTAATATGGTATTTACCATTGATTATGAGGTAGTACACTTGAAAAAAAAAATTAAAAAAAAAAAAGTTCCACCGAGTTAAAAGACAGCCTGCTGAACTTCATGGTACAAATTAGTTCCCTAGAACGATAGCAAACGGCCCCAATATTCAATCATCACCGAAACATCAGACCTTGAAATAGCACCAGGCAGTACCATAATTAGTCTACCACACACTAGTTAATGATACTCAGCCATGCTTGTTAATTTTCTGTCCGAAACTTCTAACCCAAATCCTCATATCAATGGCCTAAAATTAAATTAAATTCACACACACACACACACACACACACAAGAATTATAAACAAAAAATATAATTTAAATCGTTTAATTTCTAAAGGAACATGAATTCTTCAAAATTATTAGTAAGCAAAGGAGTGGACACAAATAGAATCTATCACCTCTTATGGCTAAGGAGGTAGGTTGGACGATTCAAGTAGTGAAGAAAGATCCTAAAGTTGTTACTGATAGAAAGTATAAGCCACTGATTATTATAGTAGTATCATCAAAATCCTCAACAAAGAATATTCCAACCGCATAATGTCAAAAAAGTACATAATCACCATAACAATATTCCCTTTAAGTAAGGAAAGATAATCTGATTAAAAAGGTAAGAAAGAAATAAAAAAGATAAAGAAAAATAAACTGAAATATGACGGTTCGTGAAACTGAAACTTGCAATAATGCATATGAAAGATAAGCCTTCAATAAATCAAAAATGAACCCATGAATTTGCAAACCTTAAAGCCCAACCTAATAAAGCAACAATGGAAGATGGCAGAGAAACCTAGTCACAAGCAGGAAACCCATAAGGAATGAACCCACGATGCTTAAGGCGGTAGTGAATCCATGACTCGTGAACACTAAATCCTTGAACTTGTGACTGAAGATGAGAAATACCAAAGCCGTAAATAGAACAAAATGATTTGGCTTCAGGAAAAATCATGAACCACAAATTGAAAAAAGGAACAATATAAGCATACTACAGGGTAATAGTGGCAGAATTCAAGAATAGAGTTTGAATGGAGATGGGAATTTCTTCAGGCGACAGCGACGGCATGCAAGAATGAAGATGGAAAAGAATGGAGGAGCGAAACTTCCTAACCCTTAGCTTGCTTCAAAAGGCAAAGAGCCAAAGACGTGTTGAGGAGCATTTAGGTTCTTTTGTTTTAATTTTTTTTTAATTGATAAAATAACCTTAAAGGGTAAAAAAAAAAAGAAGAAGAAGAAGAAGAAGAAGCCAAAGTGTAATAAAGTATGAATGATGCAAAATTGGTATGAGTTAGTACAATAGGTGAGAAATGTAGCCAAAACTAAAAAAATAGCTAATAAATATTGCAAAAATATATTGATGCAAATCTAGAGGGTCAATGGAACTTCATATAACATAATTAAGATGGCGGAGCTTGACCACGCAAAGAAAGGTCCAAAGGGTGAAAGTGACATGCTTGGAGGAGCCAAGGAGGTCCCACAAATGTTCAACAAGTTCTGACTCCATGGATACAACCCTATTGTATCTAAGAATCCACTATCAAGTTTTAAAGGCCCATTGATGGAAGCCCAATCCATAGAGAAGGCATCCAAGGAGGGTTCCTTAATGGAGATCTATATGTCACAAGCCCAATCTAATGGAGAGCCTAGGTACGTTAAAGAGGAGTCTAAAGACCTATCTAGTAATGGCCTAAGAGAGGAGACCAACATAAATCAAGCTCAAATCATTACAGTTGACATGTCCCTCTTCAAAGCCACTAAAGGGGACATTTTTTATAATAAGATATATAGACCTGGAAAGGACATATTTAAAGGAAAATGAGACCAATTTACAAGGTCAGACATCCTTACAGTATATTTGCATTGTATAAATGAATCCAAAGCCAAAATATTGGCAATGCACTTTTTCTAACCATAGTTGATATCGGCTTATATTGAGTCAAGATTTTAGAGTATAATTATAAAAGGCCAACATGCTCACTACTGCAGCTAAGGAAAAGCAAATTATAAGATGCACACTGAAAGCCAAGAATTAAGAGCAGCATGCCATTATACAAGATTAAGAGCAGCATGCCATTATACTGTCACTCAAATTTATACATGTCTTCTTTAACAATTTGCCAGCTAAGTTTTGCAAGATTAACTTATAGACTTGTTGCCATAAAAAAAAAAAAAATAAAAGAAAAAATTAGAGAACTGTCCCTAGATGGAGTACCCTAGTTGGATGGAGTTTAAATGACTTATGCCACCAAAGAATTGAACCTCTAGTGGCAATGAACCAATAGTTAGCAACTAATATTAATGCCAATTTAAGATCAACAAGTTACTCCTTTAAGAGTTAGGCAAAGAAGAACAACTTGAAAGCTTTGCCTAGGCTGAATGAGTCAGGCACATTAACCAGTTCTGCAACTAAAAATTAGATATTACCTATGCTCCCAAAGTTTTGGACGCGTTCTAGCCAAAGAACCAATGAAACCGACACCAAGAACTGGGGATCCAGATAAGGCAAAGCATGTACATATTTACAAATTACAAGCATGTCCAAATCATCCAATTCATATGACAGAATTTTTGCCATATCACTTGGCAATAATAAAGAAGGAACTAATTGAAATAGCAACATGTTGTCAAAACCAACTATCAAATGTTTTCTGGACCAAAACACTGAACCCAAGAGAATAAGTTTTATTTTGATTAGTTGACATAGTCTAGAAAGCTTAAGAACAAATTTTTCATTCCATTTCAGGAATCTAAACTTGCATGCTTTCTAACAATTTTGAGCAGCAATTAAACAAAACATGAAAGAAAATAGAGGATGACACATTCGCCTTATTGATGGCTCGAGCTTTCTTTGGACTCGCTGAAGGAGTAGCTCTTCCCTCCATAACCGCTCTCTTATCAAGGTGATGCTTTGTCCTTTATCCTTTTCCTCATTCTATTCTGTCACCCTCTACCAAACTTCAATTCGATAAAGAAATAAACAAAAAAAAATTAAAGAAAAGAACAATAATTAAGTTTTAGCATTTCTATGGAGTTCAAAATGATTAAACAATAAATAAAAAGTAAATATTCTCATGTTAGCAAGAAAAAGTTACCTTCGAATCTGAACAAATAAAAACTAAGGAAGAAATGAAGATTTCAGTGAGTTAAGACAAAAAATCCATGGATCCGACAAAGAAATGTGATTCTCGATGACGAAAATGGCAAAGCCGGACCTTTAGAATCCAAATCTGCAATGGAAACGAACTTCTCTTGCGACGTCTTGATGGTGGCGGGGCTTCTCTGGTGAGGTTTGCGGCTATAGTGGTGACAGGTTTGCAGTTGTAGATGGAGGACGTTGATGGAGAGGGAGAGGGAGAGAGAGGAGAGAGTGGAGTGAGAGAACCGAAATGTTTGAGAGGGTGGCAGCCGAGGGGGCATTTTGGTTAGTTGAATAGATTCTTTTATAAATAAAATATTAAATTTAATCCTTAAATTTGACTAGGCTTTTTAGCATAATTTTTCTTCTCTGATCTTTCAGCAATTCTCCCATCTAAAAAATCTCCCAATTTCACGTGTCCATAAATCCAAATTGCTATGAAAATGGTTAAAAGTACTTGATTGTTTTTTTCTTCTGGCAATCCAATTCAAAACTTTAGGTAAGCATCATGCCTTAAAGCTACATGAATAATTTTAAGATCCTAATAAAATATCTTTAATGTTTAGAAAGAAAACTACAACTTTAGAGATTTTGGAGAATTATAATTCATCATGACAAAAAAATGTTTGAATAACAAAAAATTATCTTTTGGGTAATGGCAAAAGTTTGAATTGAAGTGACGTGATTTGGAATGCAACATTGAATGTGCAAAAGGATGTGGAATGGGTATATTTCTCAATTTGAGCACACTCTTTCTTCACACTTCACTACAAGACTACTTTAACTACCTCATGTAAATTAAGAAAAGACGATTAAGTCATGGGTTGAATGAAAATTTAGACTCTAAACTTATATTTAGTATATTTTAAATTTTAAATAATTAAATTTGAGATAATTTTATCCCATATTAATTTGAAATTAATAGGTGTTACTTTACGTATAATAAGGCCCAAGTTTCTATTATTCCCTCTTCCCCTGCCTTGCCCTGGGCAGGATCTCGTCTCTGCCTTCTCCCCCAAACCTCTTTTTAGACTCATCCACCCTCATCCTTCTCTCTCCAGTTTCAGGCTCATCCCTCTGTCTTTCAAATTGCTAGTTGACAGACAAATGTACAAGACAAGGGCATCTTTGTTAGGATTCACCCTTATGAGATTGAAAACCAGAGGACCCTAAAACTAAACTTCTACATATTCCAAAAAAAAGAAAATACCCCCATAGTAACACATCAATGGTAGCTGGCAAGCTCAGGGTGGCCATGGGCCTCCAAAAATCGCTAGCCCACATTTCTAAATCTAACACTCTGCTGTTGTCATCCACCAAGCAGCATAAATTGTCCTCTACCACCGTTTCCAACAATAAAGGTTCTCACAAGTTTGCTTTATCTCTCTCTTTCGATGCCTACTTCCTTCACTCTTCGGCAAAAGTCTAGCCCCACCCACTTGATGTGACAGAGCTCCTTCGTCTCATGGAGGAGCTGCGTGAGAGGGTGTCTTGCTTGAAGATGAAACTTCTCGAGCACATGTTCTTCTTGAGAATGAGATTGGTGCCAATGATATAAAGATTGAGAGGAATGCCAAGCAAGTGTAGGAGTTGGAGGCTAAGAATTTGAGGCTAACACATGAGCTAGAGGAATTGAAACATCGAAAAGAAGAAGAGAGTGAGAGAAAGTGAGATGAAGATGAAAACATTGGAGGATAAGATATAATAGATGAAAAAAGTGATTTTGAATCATAAAGAAAAAAGAGGTTTTGGATCTCCCATTGCCTGCATGCAAATTCACAAGTTGTTCTTGAGACAGAGGAGCAGTGAAGGATGCAAGCTTGCAGGTATATGTTCCCCCATAATTCAATTCCATGGTCGTGCAGTTTTCATTAGATCGCTACACCTGCTTGGGGGAGAAGGCAAAGACGAGGCATGGGGGTAGAGAGAGAGTAACAGATCCTTAAGCCCTGTTACCTATAAAGTTACACTAGTGAGATTGTCCAAATTTAATTGTTCAGAGTTTAAAATATATCAAATACAAATTCAAAGTTTAAACAATTTCAAGATCTATAATTTATGATTCAAAATTGCCATTTAACCCTTAAATCACATTCTCTTTCATGTTTAATAATTTTAAATAAAAATACTATTAAAAAACTTAATTATTATCTTTATCAAGTGACTTGCAATAAAAACAATTTATCTCTCATAAAAGATATCTTGTAATGAGAATTGGAGGAAACAAAGCTGCTATTATCATTATCTTCGATTTCATCTAATGGCAAGCATGGGCTCACAATGCATAGCGCTCTCTTGTAAGAGAAATGGCTCATGACTTACCAAACTCCTTCAAATCAAACCTTATCTCCATCCCCCACCAAATACGAAAAAGCATACAAAACACAACCAAAACAAAACAAAACAAAACAAAAAAACAAAAACAAAATAGGGGAGGCGAAAAAGAATCCTTTGTTCTACATTCAAGTAACAAGGAATGAGTCAGTATATACTGTTTGATTTTCACATTGTTGGGGCTTGAATTCAGTTCATGATTGTTGGGATACAAGATTCATTCTCACGGTTTACATCATGTCACTATTGTAATACCCGCTGACAAATTTAAATTAGGTATATGACAGGCACACACATAAGCTGAAATGTAAAGTGGAGAAATTGCTACTGAATCATATATCAGAACACCTGTGTCAAGTGAAAGCACATCATTTGTGTAATTACAGACATCCAACCAAAAAGTGGGACTAGACGGAAAACATGAAAATATATATGGAGAAACAAATAACTAAGACTAGAAACTTGAACCAAAAGAGGCTAAAAAGGTCAAAGGTGTTCAGAAATCATCCTCCAAGCCTAAGAGAAAATCGGCAGCCGATGGTGCGATGTTAGTGAGGTCTAGATTCAGGTGTGTTGCAATCACCAGTAACCACTGGCTACTCCACTTAATGAAAGCTTGCAGGTGCACTTCGAGCCGCTGTGTAAAATCCCAAAGGCGGTTTACACGATTGTTTAGGGAGGTCTGAGCAGCACTGCGGCCGCCATCTTCCAGTCCAGTTGATAAGTCCCGCGGCTCTGCACCATCACCTATTGGCTGTCTGTCTCCTTGCTCCTGAACAAAGGTGAGCTGGAAGTCGTTGTCTATGTCTGAGACGAAATAAGTTGGTGGTAGGAAGCTGGCGAATTCTAGTTCGGCACGTGTCACTAGCATCAGGACAGACTGAACAATTCCCCTTGCCCTAGCTTGCATGCGTATTACATTCTGCGATATCATCTCTGAAAGGAGGTCTACCCTGTCCTCAAGTGACTCCAACCCATTTCCTAATGGATGTGTATCTCCATGCTCCTGAACCTCTGGAACAACATCCACACCCCCTAATGCATGTAGCTCATTAAATAGAGAAACACATTCATGGAAGTTATTATGATAAATTCTAAAAGAGATTCAGCTTATAAAAATATAAACAGATAAACTTCATAAAGCACATATGATTTAATATAATTATTTATCTATAATTGACTTCTATCTTTCTTCAGTCCATGTAAAATCAATTCTGGATTATCTAGTAAAGAAAAAGACAGCAATAGAAACCAGACAGGGATGCGTTTCACTGATCACATCTGTGTTTCTTTTTTCCCCCCTTTTGCATTGGCTTTCCCCAAAAACGTACCTAGTCTTTATTTGTCAATTGACAAGTTGGCTGTACATAATGAAATAATGAGAAACAAAAGAAATTTCACGAGGAATAACAAGTATGGTTGAAGAGTCCAAGCTGAGTGATCGTTCCATTTGGTAAATTTGGGTTTTGACACTAAGTTAGCTTTCTCACAGACAGAAGATACATCAGAGAGGGGCAGAGCAATGTGTAGAACCCATAAAAGTTGATTCCCAAAAGAAAGCTAGTCCGGACAAGCGAGATTCATGAAACAAAAGCATCAATGTGGCACAAAAAGGTGATTGTGAGGCTGAACGCTGAAGTGGCGCATCTAGTTTTTGTATTTATTCAAAACAATAGTGCTGGGAAGTGGGTCTTAGGCCTTCCGATCAAACATCGGTAAAGGGCTCTTTGTTTTCCCACATTAGCTTCGTTAAATTCTCATACCGCGCGAGAATTCATCTCGTGACAACAGCCTCGTGCATATCCAAATGTATACATAGGTATTATGCAGACAAATACATAAACATCAGAAAGGGAACCCTGAAACAGCTAATTGACGACCTAAGAGAAACATTTGAAACCAACGCAACGAAAAGTCGAAACCCCATATCCTAATACCTACGCCTAACCCCAAAAGCGAACAGAGAATGAAGTAGCAAGCAACCGTTAACAATGAAAATGTCCTGAAATGAGAGACAGAGAAATGCAAGAACGAAATGAGGGAAGACGACTTACTTGCCGTTGCTAGTGAGGACCTAAACCTTTTGAGGTCTCTATTTCTCTTTCTCCTTCTTCCCTCTTTCGCTTTTTTTGCTCTGCCTCGCGATCTCTTCTTCATTCTATCTTATGCTCTCTCTGGGCCTCCTTCCTTCAGCCTCCCCGTTCTTCGCTCCTCTACTTCTCGCAGCAGCTGTATGGTTCGCGCGATTCTCTCTCGCACTCACACTAGCAATGCGCCGGAGGCAGTTAAAACTTAAAAGGCCCCGGTAGGGCAAGTATTTTAATGTATTATTCTGAATAATTTACTTTTACGTGGCAGGCCCTTATCTTTTTATGATGTGATTGTGGGACCTTATATTTATTTTTAAAAAACGATGTCTTATATTGTGGGCCGCCAGCCCGCCACAAACAGACTGCTAACACCAAAATAAAGTTTTTGGGCAACAAGCTATAGGTTTTAAATAAAAAAAAAAATGAAAGCAAGGTGTAGTTGAGTTCACTTATCATTTCAAAAGTTATGAATAAAATTTATTATTTTGAGTACTTATTTTTTAATAATGAATGTGTGTATATGTTTGGATAGAGCTTTTATCATTTCATAAGATTTTGTTTTTATGAAAAATGATAATAAAATATCTTCAAATTATATAAATAATAATTTAATTTTTCAGAACGTCATAATTCCACTGAAATCCTTAATATAACGCTCTCACTTCACTAAATAAACTTAACAAATAAAACTCATGGTAATCAAGGGATTAATTTCGAAGAGTGATTACCAAGATTTAATCCAAAAGAAAAGGATCCAAGTTTTTTAAATAGAAATAAGTTAAGATTGATCAAAATCTTTCATATCAGTGTAAAAATAAGTTTCGAAAGTATAAGATACCTCAGAAGAGTGAAAGAAGTCAAAAACGGTTGAAAACAAATTATATACTGAAATACATAGCAATGCGCCACAGCGGACGCACTCTATGCTATGGTGTGATGCTCTCTGTGCCACGTGCTACGGTGTGTTGCACGAATTTTCATTGATTCTGCTATCATTTGACAGCAGAACTGGGGGAACTTCTAACTCACCCTAATTATTCGTCTAACATCTAAATGACGTAATTTAAGTGTCTACGGAAAGCTCTTTTCCTGTACTAACTAATGGCATGAGTTTTACTTTCAAAATAAGTCACACTAGGAAGTTGGACACCCAAACACATTTTAATCACTTTTTAACATTTTTACACAAAATAGGTGTCCAAAACCCTCAACAAGTGTCAAAAGCTTTTTTTAACACCTGTACCATCTCCAATAGACTTACGACTACTAGTACAACACGTCACAAGTACCAAAACATTAATATAACTAAAATTCACTCATTTACCCCAATTTACAAAAACAAAGGGGGGAGGTAATTTAGTATTGCATTTAACTCAAATCATTTAAAACATGCTCAAAACTTTATTTCTATACTTGCACTAGTATTTTGACCCTATAAACATATATATAACAATATACACACAAGCTAAGGGTCCAAAATATAATTATAACATTTTCAACAACCAAAATAGTGCAAGTAAGGTAATATGCATCCTAGAATTGGCAAGCCATATACTATTACACAATTAAAGCTAAACTAGAGGCATACAGTAGGAATATGCTAATTCCCCGCCTCTTTAGTCTTCTCCCTCTCAACACCAAAACTAGAGCCTGAAAAGTATTAAATAAGAGGGGTGAGTCTAGCCACTCAATAACTAAGGTTAACTCTACCCTATGCAGTTATATATCAATTATAAAACAAATACATGCACAGGGAGATTAAATATATAAAACAAGTTCACATATATTACAATTTATCATTTATCACTCTATAGCTTCTTTACTCACATAACTAGGTGTATTGTCTCCATATTCTCAGATATGTGACATGACCCATACTCTTGCGACCTACGACCACTTAGCATATATGACACGTCATATATTTACTTAGACAGTGATCAACCAAACTTATATCCTTCTTATTTTCTCAGATTGAAATCGTGGGCTATAACATTGATTAGGGCTCTATCCGTGTGACTGGACTACCCAAGCTTATCAATTGTGAGATGTGACTCGACCAAAGATCATAGAACTCACTCTCAAACCACAACTTCTCCCATTCTTGAATCCCTAAGGTGTCTCATACCTTAAGCTATTCTCCTCATTAAACCGGTGGATATAGCTAGGTTCTAATCCTTTAACAAATTATGGGACAGTCCCTCGATAAATAGTGAGACAAGGCTATCGCTCCCGTACATCGGAGGGCAGCCTAATTACCATATGAATTTTCTCTACTCCCAAATCCCTAGGCGAACTCCCACAACTGATCATGTTATAATCATTACTCACTTGAGTTTACTTTTTCACTTTCATTTGTTCACCATTATCACAACCACGTTGGGCTCACAACCTTGCACTACCCAAGTGTGCATTCTCACCTTTTCTCAAAAATCCATTTTTCATTAACAAACAACTACCTCTATACCTCATCACATACATCTTTCAACAACAACAATAATATTCATAGTTAAAACTCTCTTGACTTTACATATTGCACTTTTAAGTCAAAAATAGCATTTTCATGCACCCAATGAAATACATATATAGTTTTTCATAAAAATCAATATCATGCATGTAACATTCAGCATTCGCACTCAACAATCAATTAACATACAACTACCCAAAGTTTTCCTCCAGTTACCTCAAATATTTGAGAGGTCAGAGGTTTACCCCTCAATCAATTAGCTTTCAAGTTTTAATTTTCACTCCAAGAGGTAACCAAGGGCAAAAGTTACAATCAACCAAGCTGAATTCTATCAACATAACAAGCTCAAACAATTTGAACCCTCAATCCCTACTTCTAAATTGGCTAACCTTCACTTTACAAAAGGTGGAGCCTAACCATTGGGTTTAATAATTACATTTAACCCTTAATAGCATTAATGAGTCATTAAATCCCCATTAATGGCATCACAAACTTCTAACCACCCACAATAAATGGGATTTTCAAGTATTTATGGTGCCCAACAACCCAAGACACCAAAACTCATCATACCTGTGTTTAAATACTCTAATCTACCCCTATTAACTTATTTGAGTTAACAAATTCAGATCCATAACCTATATAGACTAAAATTCCACTTCTACTATCAAACCCTAATCATAAACTTATAAATGTAAGAGAAAATGGGAGATTAATGAGTATGATACTTACCTTGGGTGTTTGTAGCCTTCAAAATACTCTCAAAGTGATCCCCAAGTAAACCCTAGTAGAGCTGTGACATGCCTCTTCTTTCTCTCCTTCCTTTTCTTTCTTTTCTATCTCATTTTGCATATGGTAAAGTGCAAAAAATGGCCATGCACCGTGGTGGACGCACAACAAGCCACAGCGCATAGCACAGAGAGGTCTTCCCTCGCTCAAAGATGGCTATGCATAGTGGGGGATGATCTATGCACTGCGGCATGTGTTACAGCAATTTACTCTTCCTTTTCTTCTCCTTTCGATGCTTGGGCAGTCCGCCTCGATATTGGACCTATAACTAGGGCTGAAATAGCATCAAACATGATTATTAGACCTTTTTAGCCACATACCACTTTAATTTACTTTATTACCCTAATTAGGTTTAATTAATCAGGGAATTAAAACTCAAGATGTTATACTTAAGGACATCTTTATTAATAAATTTTAAATTAAAAAATTATTTTACCATTTATTTATAAGTTATAATTTCTTATTCAATTCTTACAATTATTTGAAAAAAATTGTGATTCTTTAAACAAAAGTTGTAAATAAGGTTTGTTATTCTCATAACTTATTTTTCAATAATAGAAATTAAACTTGACAAATTATGCTTTTTGTTCAACTTCTGTAATTCACAAAATAAAAGTTATTATTCCTTAAACAAAAATTATGATTGGGGCTTGTTTTTTAATGATAGAAATTGCACTTGATAAGTTATGATTTGTTATTCAACTTTTGCAATTTACATAACAAAAATTGTGATTCCTTTAACAAAAGTTGTAATTAAAGCTTGTTATTTTTAGTAAAAGTATAATGGTCCATTTTATTAACATTGGAATTATGATATTCTAGGGAATCACAAGGGACCAAATTATGATATTTTCAAGGATCAAATTATCATTTGTATAATTTGAAGGGATTTTATTAACATTTTTCCCTTTTTTTACATTTTACCAGAAAAAACTTTTTTAAAAACTAAAGTTCACTTGACAAATGTTGTTTAGGTGTCATATTATTCTGTATTATTTAACATGTATTCTAAAAGTCCATTCATTTTGTACCAAAAAAATAAAAGTCCATTCATTTTTTTCACACCTACAGAGTTTAGATTAGGGCTAATCCCTCATAACATAGTAAACCAATATTCAAGTCCCCACTTAGAGAGATGCACACATTTAGTGCCTAATTATATTTTGAATAAGATTGTCTCCACTTAGAGAGATGCACTGTCCGCCATGACACATGACACTTGTGTCATCTGTCGTAGTGGATGGCACAAAAAAGAGAATCCTCTCATTGTGTAGTATGCTACAGCCCCTTGTTGTTGTCATGACAACACTTCCGGCTAACTTTTAGAATGTGATGTTTTGTCATCCAACATCCGATTTGAGTCATTTAAGTGTTCACATGTAGCTTTTTAATCTACCTAGCTATTGGCATTGGTTTCATAATCAAACACTTTACCATTTAAAAGTTGAACATTCAAACATAAAATTTCCCCTTTTCCTTTCAAAACAAACCCAAGGGTGTCCAAACCCACCAATCAATTACCAATAACTCTTGGACCACTTGAACTAACTCAATTGGACAACAACATACATAATTTAACAGTTATACAATATTACACACATTCTAAACATAATATGGCCATTAAACCTCGATTTCATAATAATTTAAAGGGTGGCAATAAATTGCCTATAACAATCTCTTAGCAATTCAAACACATAAACACCATAATAACATCATTTGCATTAGTATCCGGACCCCTTAACAACAATTTCATTATAATTACATGCTTCCTAGGCAAGATACCTATTGTAATATCCTAAGTTTTCAACATGGGACTTTGGGTGTTTAAGAAGGGCAATTTGGTCAAATTATGTAGATTTTTAGATTAATGATATTTTTAGGAGACTAACATAGTTTTTTGAATTATTAGACAGCCTTAGAAGAGGGCTAAATTGAAGTTTGAGT